AGCTTTTCACATGGCTTCCTCACTAAGTCTCATTATTTCTAGCTTTTTATTTAAAGTGAGACACATGTGATGCTTCCTTTAACTTGAGCATTTAGAGGCCATTGCCATTGTAGGATTATTAATTGACTTAATCTCCTTTTTTTTTTTGTCTCAGGAAAGAGGGAGGTCAAGGAGAGGGAGAGAAAGAAACGGGAACAGCTGGCCAGTGAAGCAGTCGAAACACCCACATTTATTAGGTTTGCCATAATATACAAACCCAGTGTGTGGTGCCATAGACAGTTACACCAGTAACAACAAAGATCATTGTTACCACTGTTCATACTACCATAACAGATGTAATAATAATAATAAAGTTTGAAATATTTCAAGAATTACCAAAATGTGGCAGAGACACAAAGTGAGCACATGTTGTTGGAAAAAGGGCACCAATAAACTTTTTTGACTCAGGGTTGTCACAAGCACTCAATTTGTAAAACTCACAATATCCTCAAAGTACAATAAAGCGAAGTGCAATCAAACAAGATGTCCCTGTATGATAAAGAAACCTAAAAGAATAACATCAAATATGATAGCACACATAGGCAGCATTTAGTATATGTCATATATAAGTATTCCTGTCATCCTAAAGCATGGGAGAAAAACAAGACAACACAATAGCAAAATAAAAGTTCTAGGCACTCATAGAAAAAGAAACACAAATGGCCAATAACAAATGAAGAATGCACAACTGCACCAAAAATGAAAGCAATGCAAGATAAAATAGGAATGAAATAAAAATTTTTTTACAGTTAAGTTGGCAAGATATTAAATGTTTACAATATCTAGTGCATGTCATATTGATTTACAGGGAAATGTAAAGTTTAAATGGATTCATTTAGATATATAATTCTTAATGTGCTAATAAAGCATAGAAAAAATATGGAAGTATGTGCAACAAAATTCACAGGAAACATGTATTTTAAAATCAGAAAAAGAAACAGCATAACGGTGTGAGTAATTTGAAAAATACATAACTTGTTATTTTAGAAGGTATAAGAATATAGGGTGAAATATTCTTTTTAAAAAAAAAATGTTGCAAAAGGTATCGCTGCTATAATAAATTGCCATAAACTTAGTGACAAAATAACAAATTCCTGGTCTCATAATTCTGTGGGTTGGAAATCTGACATGCATCTCACAGGGCTAAAATCAAACAAGGTGTCTACAGGGCTTTGTTCCTTTCTGGAGGCTGCAGAGGAGCCTTTTCCAGCAGAAGGCTGCCCACATTCTTTAGTTCATGGACCCCTGCATTCATCTCCACATCCAGCTCTATTCTCGCTGACCATTATTCCATAGTCACATGTCCCTCTCTCGACAGGAGGAAATGTTCTCTGATTTTAGGGACCAGTGTGATCTTACCTCAAGATCCTTAACTTAATCACATCTTCAAAGTCCCTTTTGCCATGTAAAGTAACAAATTACAGGTTCTAGGAGATAGGACAGGAACATCTTTGTTCCTCTTAGTATAAAACCTTCAAGAATCTTATGGATCTCCTGCATATATCATGGGGATTTCCTCCATTAGACATGAAGCTTCCCCACAGATCATTCCTAGAAATCCACACATCTATTTTTGGATTTTTTTGTACTTTAAATTCAGGAATATATGTGCAGGCTTGTTACATAGGTAAACATGTGTCATGGGTGTTTGTTGTACAGATTATTTCATCACCCAGGTATTAAGCCAAATACCCATTGGTTATTTTTCCTGATCCCCTCCCTCCTCTAACCCTCTACCCTCATATAGGACTCAGTGTATGTTGTTCTCCTCTATGTGTCCATGTGTTCTCATTTCGTTATCACTATAAGTGAGAAAATGTGGTGTTCGGTTTTCTGTTTCTGCATTAGTTGGCTAAGAGTAATGGCCTCCAGCTCCATCCATGTCCCTGCAAAGCACATTATCTCATTCTTTTTTTATGGTTGCACAGTATTCCATGCTATATATGGATGACATTTTCTTTACCCAGTCTATCATTGCTGGGTATTTAGGTTGATTCCATGTCTTTGCTATTGTGAATAGTGCTGCAATGAGCCTACATGTACATGTGTCTTTGTAATAGAATGATTCATATTCCTTCGGTTATATACTCAGTAATTGTCAAACTGTCTTCCACAATTGTTGAACTAATTTACACTCCCAGCAACAGTGTGTATAAGCGTTCCTTTTTCTCCACAACCTCATTAGTATCTGTCGTTTTTTAACTTTTTAATAATAACCATTCTGACTGATGTGAGATGGTAACTCATTGTGGTTTTGATCTGCATTTCTCTAGTGATCAGTGATGTTGAGCTTTTTTTCTTATGACTGCTGGCTGCATATATGTCTTCTCTTGAGAAGTAACTGTTGATGTCTTTTGCATACTTTTTTAATGGGGTTGTTTGCTTTTTCTTGTAAATTTGTTTAAGTTCCTTATACATGATGAATTTTACATCTTTGGTAGATCCATAGTTTGCAAAAATTTTCTCCCATTCTGTAAGTTGCCTGTTAACTCTGTTGATAGCTTCTTTTGTTGTGCAGAAATTCTTCAGTTTAATTAGATCCGATTTGTCAATTTTTTCTTTTATCGTAATTGCTTTTGACATCTTTGTCATGAACTCTTTGCCTGTGCCTATGTCTTGAATAAGTCGTCTTCCAGGGTTTTTATAGTTTTGGCTTTTACATTTAATTCTTTAATCTGTCTTAAGATAATTTTTGTATATGGTATAAGGAAGGGGTCCAGTTTCAATTTTCTGTATATGGCTTGCCAGTTATCCCAGTACCATTTATTGAATAAGAAATCCTTTTGCCATTGCTTGTTTTTGTCAGGTTTGTCAAAGATCAGATAGTTGTAGGTGTTCGGTCTTATTCTGGGTTCTTTCTTCTGCTCCATTGGGCTATGTGTCTGTTCTTGTACCAGTACCAGGTTGATTTGGTTACCGTATTAGTTCATTTTCACACTGATAAAGACATACCCAAGATCTTGGGTAATTTATACAGGAAAAGGGGTTTAATGGACTTACAGTTCCATGTGGCTGGGGAAGTCTCATGATCACAGCAGAAGACAAAAAGAAGCAATTCACATCTTACACGGATGGCAGCAGGCAAAGAGAGAGAGCTTGCATAGGGAAACTCCTCCTTATAAAACTATCAGATCTCATGAAGACGTATTCACTATCATTAGACTAGCACAGGAAAGAAGAGCCCCCATGATTCAATTACCTGACACTGACAACACGTGGGAATTGTGGGAGATACAATTCAAGATGAGATTTGGGTGGGACACAGACAAACCATATCAGTTAATGTAGCCCTGTAGTATAGTTTGAAGTTGGGTAGCTTTGTTCTTTTTGCTTAAGATTGCCTTCATTATTCAGGCTCTTTTTTGGTTCCATGTGAATTATAAAATAGTATTTTCTAGTTCTGTGAGGAATGTCAATGGTAGTTTAATGGCAATAGCATTGAATTTATAAATAGTCTCAGGCAGTATAGCCATTTTAATGATATTGATTCATCCTATCCATGAACAGGGAATATTTTTCCATTTTTTTGTGTCATCTCTCATTTCTTTGAGCAGTGGTTTTTAGTTCTCCTTATAGAGGATCTTTCACCTTCTTAATTAGCTGTATTCCTAGGTATTTTACTCTTTTTGTAGCAACACACATCTATTTTTGACTTCTGCTGAGATGGCTGAGGGACCCATGACTCATATGCCTCATCTCTTCAAAGAACTTCGTCTATGAATGAATAATATGACCTTTCACTACTTCCCAGGGAACTGGCAAAAACTCTTGGTTTTCTCTACCAAGCACACATCCCTGACAGTGAATCTCCTAATCATATCATGTTTTGTGACCTGGATAGGCTGAGAATTTTCTACATCATCAAGTTTTGATTCTTTTTCGTTTAGTAGCTCTTCCTTCAATTTCTCTCTTTCCTCTTGCATTTTACTATAATTGGCAAAAGACACCACAACACACAATGACCACTGTGTTTGGAAATCTTCTTGGCTATAGATCTAGAAAGTTTTGCTTTTCACATGAGTACAGGACAGGCCACTATATAATAAGGAGACCTTTTCCATGTATTCCTTACGCCCTCCTGAGCCCTCACCAGTTATGCAGTTAACCTCCATATTTTTACTAACAGTCTGCTCATGATGATCCAGGTTCTCTGTAAGGCAATATAGGCTTTCTCTCCCATGTTCTTCACTTCATTCTCAGTCCTCACTAGCACAGTCATTAGCATCCATGTTTCTACTAAGAACTACTCAAGGCAATATAGGCTTTCCCTATCATACTCTTTAAAATTCTTCCAACCTCTATCCATCGCCAATCCCAAAGGCACGCCAACACTTTCAGGAATATGTTACAGCCACACCCCCAGTTCTAAGTACCAAAATCTGTCTTACTCTTAATTGCAGCCATAACAAATTACCACAAATTTAGTAATTTAAAGCAATGCAAATGTATTTTTTTCCAGCTATGTCAGTGAGAAATGTGACATGGGTCTCACTGGCTAAAGTAAATCCTTTCTGCAGGCTGGAAAAGACAACTTATTTCCTTGCCTTTTCAGCTTCTAGAGGTCACCCATATTCCTTGGTCCCTTCTTCCATCTTCAAAGCCTGCAACATTACATGTTTTTGATGATTCTTCCATAGTCATATCTTCCTTTCTCCATAACCAGGAAAAGTTCTCCATTCTTTAAGGCCTACAAGATTAGATTGGGTCCACCTACATAATCCAGAATAATCTCCCCATTTCAAGGTTCCTAGCTTAATTGTATCTGTAAAGTCCCTTTTGCCATGTAAGATAGCAGGTTACAGGTCCAGGGATTAGGAGGTAGACATTTTAGGGAGGCCATCCTTCTATCTACCACAGTATTGCAAATAATAACAAAAATAGTAACAATGACAAAAATAAAACTCTGGCATTAAAAACATGTTTGCAACACCAAAAGCAAGTAGATTCGTATTTATTCTTACTTCTCTTCCTCTTGGGTTTGGTACTGTCCAAAGCAGAGTTGCTTCCAGTATCCACAGTATCTGGAAAATAACAACTAGTCGTGAGGAAACAAATTAATAAATAAAAGTTATAGATTTTAGGACAATTTATACTATAGAAGGCTTGAGTTTATAAAGACGTTTGGATAGTCATTCCTCTCGTCCTTCTAGAAGAACCAAAAACTCACTGAGCTGAGGACTAGGAGTCTAGGATGGGCCCTGGGTCTTCTATCAAAAATATGTGCTGGGCTAAGAAGAGTAGACCTGCACTCTTCCCTCCTGACAAGTACCAGGATTAGTTGCCTTTTGGATCAGGCTTTTCTAAGGTGTAGCAAAGTGACACTATTATCTATCAGCAGAAGTTCACCGGGCTATCTTGGGTTTCATAGAAAATTGGGTATAACTTATTATACTAATACAATAAACAAAATAACTGCTATTTCAAAGAATATACTTCTACGACATCATCTATATGTAATTAACAGAGCCCATCCTCTTAAATACGACTTTATAATGATCTCTTGCCTCCTTTCAGTTCCCCAAAGGCTCAGGTCAAGGAAATGCTGAGAACAGAATTCTGGACAGACGGGAGCACCTGCCTCCACTCTACTGGGGGTCTGTGGGGCCCACTGAGCCACCCCATCCCATGGCCCTCAGGCAGCCTTGCTCACTTTCCATCCTTGCTTCTGGGCCTCCTGGCACTTCTTCTGAGAAACACATGACACAGGAACACTTCTCATTTTCACATGCTAGTTGCTCTGCTCCTGGGCCAAAATTATGATTTATGAAGACTTTCCGTTTGACCCCATGATTCTCTTTTCTGCACCCTTGTTGCTCCCTCCTTCTTTACTTTTTCCTCTGAAATCTTCTCCTTTCACCACTCCTCCCAATATTTGACTCTTCCTTTAAGTCTCTTTTATTTCCTCTCATTTTTCTCCCTGTCATATCTCTGTTCCTGTTTTCACTATTTTTAAGTCATAATTACCTGGTACATCCTCATGGAGCAGGCTAGAAGCAAGCTCTTCTGATTCTTCTTCTTCATTCATTTGGTGATCTTTTAATTCACTAGATACTAATGAGAAACAAGAAAATTATTGTCCAAGGATCCTGAGACAATGGCTAGAGAAGAGTTTCCAGTGCTGTCATACTGCACAATGATATTCTGAGCTAAGATGAAGTGCTCTCTGGAAAAAAATATACCTGCTCCAATAATCACACTTAACACATAACAGAGCCATGCTCTCCGCATATTATGCACCTCATCTTCCCTTTCTCTACTTCTATTTTTGTACCTGTAGTCCTAGAGTAAAGCAAGAAAATTCTTATCATTCCAGAAAACACAAATGTTCTTTGAAAATAGTAAAAAGTAACTATTTAAACTCATCTCAATTGGCCATTGACTACTTATATCATTAACCACATTTCTGAAAGCTAGCCCATGGGTGGCAGTTCTACATATCTGAAGCCTAGCCAGTCAGCAACAGCCCCTTCCACAAAGCCTGCATCAATGGCCAAATACTAAATTATTCCTAAACACTCCTGTTTCTGAAGGTCTGGAGTCCCTGAACAATATGCTTCCAAAAACTCTAAAAAAAACCCACAGTTTCCTTTTCTACAGAGACTGTGTCTTACAAGCACAGGGCCTCCTCCCCTCTGGTGCAGCTTTCAGTTTCAGATAATGAATGGTAGCCTTGCCCTTCAAAAACTGGAGTTCCTGCCGAGATTATTTGGAAGACTCTTGCTGGGGAGTGTCCTGTGGGCCCCTTGGATCCACAAGAATGAATCTCAGGCCACTTGTGTCCAGTTCAGGTCACTTTTCTGACCTATTGCCAAGTGAATCTTTCTCAACAACAACTTGAACTCTGACTTGTTTCATTGAGCTCTTAGTTCTGAATTTATCTTATTTAAAGATGGGTATACAATTAGATAAAATTAGATATTTGGGGTTGGAAGTACAGCACTTAGCAAACGTTTCCTCAATTAATGTGCATATTTATCAATTACTTCATCTGCTTTACTTTTCTTTCATCTATTTTTAAAATGTCTTATCTCTGCCGGGCATGGTGGCTCATACCTGTAATCCCAGCAGGGAGGCTGGGAGGCTGAGGCAGGCAGATTGCTTGAGTTCAGGAGTTCTAGATCATCCTGGGAAATATAGCAAAACCCATCTCTACCAAAAAAAAAGTCTTATATCATGCGAGTTTGTTTCTGATTTTCCTGTGCTTTCTGAATGTTAGAAGATAGTGATCCAAAGCAAACAGCTGGTGGCCAAGATCTGATAAGTCCTCAATCCAAGCCAGCCCCGAAAACTAATGGATGTGGGTTCATTAGACAGTAGCCAAACTGTTCAAAGATATTTGGTCACACTTGATCTTGGGTCCCTCATCAAAACCTTCATGAGGACACCTAGTGTCTTATCAATTTGTGAAAAAAAAATCATTTTGTTTAGTATATAATCTGGAGTCAACTACAATCATGTGATTAATTGTATGTCCCCTTTTCAGTCCCTGCTTCATTCATGTGCAACACACCATTCACACTTCAACCAAATATAGCGGCCTCTTTGCTGTTTGTCATGGGAGTGTCTTTGCCAAAGTCATAATCTCCCCCTGACAAAATTTTCACTTCCTCTGTATACTTTCACCGTGATTCTAACTCTTACACTTTTCTTCACACCTGTCAAAAATTTCACTAAAGATGACTTTGGCTAACAATGGGGAATTTTTGACATGTCCAAAGTAAGTAACACGTTTGACAAGTAAATCTATCAAAGAAGAGAAAAAAAATCACCAAATGTTCTCATGTCTCAACCAGTAACCTGTTACTTTCAGACCATTATCTGAGGAACACTCTTTTCAACAAAACCTCTATAAATGTAATAGATAGGGATTTATTCTGCAAATGGAACTACCAGATTAAGTGTTCAGAAGAAAGATTAATTTTAGAAGTTCCCTGACACATGATCTATGTATAGTTGACCTGAACATTAGTATACTTATCCTATGCATGATTTGAGATCTGCAAGTAATAAACAAAATAGGTATATCTCACTTTCCCGTACCTCCTAACCAGACACAGGCAGGTTTCCTGTCTCCCTGTCTCCTTTATCATAATCCTTTTCTTTTGTATGTACATAAAAAAACAGGCCATAGTTTATGACCAGCCTAGTCAACATGACTTTCTGAAGGAAGCGGACTGCTCCTGCAGGACCCAGGAGACCCCCCTCAAAGTGTGAGTGTCCCAACTGCAGAATTGGGAAAGGGGGACTCTCCTCTCCCGAACACACACCCCCACTGGAGAAGCTGAAGGTCTGTTTGCGGGAGAAGTTTCTGACTTTACCTGGAACTGAGTCAATCTGGAGAGCTGGGTGAGATACAGAGGTAGAGGAAGCAGCGGAAAAGTGCTGGGAGCTCGCTGGGTCCCCTAGCAGGCCATTCCTGCTGGTACCACAGGGCTCCAATGGGAGAGGAGCAGGAGGTAAAACTACACAGGGAGAAAAGACTCTAGCTGAACTTTGTAACAATTTGAACCGGGTGAGAAGCCTGCTGGCCAGAACTCCAGGGAGGGCGCCAATCCAGTGTACAGACTCCACAGGTGGGGAAGAACCAAGCCCTTTTTTTCTGCAGCTGGGAGGCAGATAGTCTGGGGCAGATTTTCAAGCCTGGAAATGGTCTGGGGGCTGTTGTGGAGGGCATGGTGGGAGTGAGTCAGGCACTTTGGTTTACATGGGAGCTGGGTGAGGCCTGTGACTGCCAGCTTTCCCCCACTTTCCCAACAACCTTGGATGACTCAGAAGAAGCAGCCATAATCCTCCCAGGTACAAAACTCCAGTGACATGGGAATCTCATCCCTACCCCTCATAGCAGCTGTAGCAAGATCCACCCAAGGAGAGTCTTAGCGTAGACACACCCAGCCCCTCCCCAACCTGATAGTCCTTCCCTATCCATCCTGGTAGCTGAAGACAAAGGGCATATATCTTAGAAGTTCTAGGGCCCCACCCACCACCAGTTACTCCCCATAATACCACAGCTGATGCTCCCTAGAAAGCACCACCTCCTGGCAGGAGGCCAACTAGCACAAAAATAGAGCATTAAACCAACAAAGCTAAGGACCCCAACAGAGTCCACTGCAACCCCATCACCTCCAACAAAACAGGCACTTGTATTCATGGCTGAGAGACCCATAGATGATTCATATCACAGGACTCTGTGCAGACAGCCCCCAGTACTAGTCTAGAGCCAGGTAGACTCGCTGGGTCACTAGACCCAGAAGAGAGACAACAATCACTCCAGTTTGTCTCACAGGAAGCCACATCCATAAGAAAAGAGGGAGAGTACTACATCAAGGGAATATCCCATGGGACAAAAGAATCTGAACAATAACCTTCAGCCCTAGACCTTCCCTCTGACAGAGGCTACCCAAATGAGAAGGAACCAGAAAACCAACCCTGGTAATATGACAAAACAAGGCTCTTCAACACTCCTGCAAAATCACACTAGTTTACCAGCAATGCATCTGAACCAAGAAGAAATCCCTGATTTACCTGAAAAAGAATTCAAGAGGTTAGTTATTAAGCTAATCAGGGAGGGACCAGAGAAAGGCAAAGCCCAATGCAAGGAAATTCAAAATATGATACAAGAAGTGAAGAGAGAAATATTCAAGGAAATAGATAGCTTAAAAAACAATTAAAAATTCAGAAAACTTTGGACACACTTTTGGAAATGTGAAATGCTCTGGAAAATCTCAGCAATAGAATTGAACAAGTAGAAGAAGGAAATTTAGAGCTCAAAGACAAGGTCTTCAAATTAACCCAATCCAACAAAGACAAAGTAAAAAGAACAAGAAAATACAAACAAAGCCTCCAAGAAGTCTGGGATTACGTTAAATGACCAAACCTAAGAATAACCGGTATTCCTGAGGAAGAAGAGAATTCTAAAAGCTTAGAAAACATATTTGGGGGAATAATCAAGGAAAACTTCCCTGTCCTTGTTAGAGACTTAGACATCTAAATATAAGAAGCACAAAGAACACCAGGGAAATCATCACAAAAAGATATTTGCCTACGCACATTGTCATCAGGTTAACTAACGTTAAGACGAAGGAAAGAATCTTAAGAGCTGTGAGACTAAAGTACCAGGTAACCTATAAAGGAGAACCTTATCAGGTTAACAACAGATTCTCAGCAGAAACCCTACAAGCTAGGAGGGTTTAGGGCCTTATCTTCAGCCTCTTCAAACAAAACAATTATCACACAAGACTTTTGTGTCCAGCAAAACTAAGCATCATATATGAAGGAAAGATACAGTCTTTCAGACAAACAAATGCTGAGAGAATTCACCATTAGCAACCCACCACTACAAGAACTGCTAAAAGGAGCTCTAAATCTTGAAACAAATCCTAGAAACACATCAAAACAGATCCTCTTTAAAGCATAAATCACACAGGACCTATAAAACAAAAATACAAGTTAAAAAGTAAAAACAAGAGCCAAAAAATCAAAGTACATAGGCAACAAAAAGCACAATGAATGCAATGGTACCTCACAGCTCAATACTAAAAGTGATTGTAAATGGCCTAAATGCTCCACATAAAAGATACAGAACCACAGAACTGATCACCAACCAAATATCTGCTGCCTTCAGGAGACTCACCTAGCACATAAGGACTCACATCAACTTAAAAGTAAAAGGGGGGGGGAAAAAGGCATTTCATGCAAAAAAAAAACACCAAAAGCAAGCAGGAGTAGCTATTCTCACATCAGACAAAACAAATTTGAAGGCAAAAGCAGTTAAAAGAAACAAGGAGGGACATTATATAGTGGTAAAAAGCCTTGTCCAACAGAAAAATATCACAATTCTAAACATATAAGTACCTAACACTGGAACTCCCAAATTTATAAAACAATTATTAATAGGCCTAAGAAATGAAATAGCAACACAATAATAGTGGGGAACTTCAATACTCCACTGACAACACTAGACAGGTCATCAAGACAGAAAGTCAACAAAGAAACAATGGATTGAAACTATACCTTGGAACAAATGGATTTAACAGATATATACGGAACATTTC